ATGGTGAGGTTAAACACGGTTAGAAAAAAAAAAACACCCAACGAAAATGGGGAGTGACCTAGAAATGTGGTATTATGTTGGGTGATTTTGGATGGCTAAGTTGGTTGAACTCGCTGCATTTACTGTGGTTTGTGGTAGATATCACTGATATAATATATATTATATATATAGTATATATATATATAGTATATATATATATTATATATAGTTAATGGGATCTATAAACCAGCTGTGTTCCCCCACCTTCTGAGGTCACCATGGGTTGCATCTGAGCTCCGATTCGTGTTCAGTTCTGCGGCGCTAGTTGTGTGTGTGTGTGTGTCTGTTTATTTGGTTCCAATAACAAATGCTTGAAACAGTAAATAGCTATAAAATCTTAAGAAATCATAACAAATCACTGTTTATTTGATGTTGACATATGTTGACTTAATATTTGAAAAACAAATGGCGGAGAATTGACACTTGAATGAACCCACAAAGTCGCAGGAAACTGCCAGGGTTTCGACCCCACTGGCCACTGGTGTGACACGTGTGTAACAGTTCCCGATTCTTTGGCCCCGTGTTCGGGTGCCCTATATTTTCGTTCTGTTCATCACAGTTGGTAATCACAAGTAATCACTCTGAGTCTAACATATTAAAATGGCAACATGGTAAACAAAATTAATTAAGGCATCTCGCTTCTGAAAAAGATATTAAAAAAATATCACCTGCCTGACTTACTTGACTCAAGGGCTCAAAAACATGGCAGCAGATTTGGACAGCATACTACAGCAGGAGAAGAAAAATAAAAGCTTCGAATATTGAAGTCTGGTTTCCGTCTGCTTGGACCGAATGTCATTGAGCAGCCCTTGCATGACATAGCCACCGTCATACAATCGCCGGACCCTACGCCACCTCGGAAGTGTGTTCAGAGAGAGCCTGCTGCTTTGACAATACCCTCATATATCCTCCACATAGTAGGGGACTGTTAATGCAATTAAAGGGAATGATAACAGTGAAGCCTGTCCTTTAAGCATATTCAGATTCATATAGTAGTACATTCTGGATCGGAATTGCTTGTGCAAGAATCCCTTTCCAGCTATGGTAGCAGGAATGTCCATCCAAGTGTGGTTGTGGTGTGAAATAAATGCGAGCGTTTGACCTCGCACATCCTTGGGACCTGTAAAAATTCTGAAGAATTGAAAAGGTCGCACAGGTAGGCATCCCTTTCCAAATCGGTGATTCATCTGTCATCCACTGTTCCACATGCCAACCCGCTGCTCACTCATCCAGCTGTTCATCATGCATCTAAAACTGTCTCCCTGCCCAAGCATAGGTCCGGTCAACCTATCTATCCGTTTTCCTTGCCACCGCCTCATACTGTTCAATGCCGAAGCAGTTTTTTTTCTGCGATGATTGCATTGTTTTTCACATAACACCAAAAAGAAGATTGTTTGTTAACAAACCTTGTGCCATATTATGGAGTGCAACAAACATATCCAAAACAAAATGCATACCAGTTGCAGCATTTTGTACCACAAACCCTGTTCTAAACACCTTGAACCGGACCCTGAAGAATATCCTAAAACCCATCAATTTGCCATTTCTCAGTTCCACACCTGAGTTTTAAGTCAGGCATGAATTACGTATGGATTGTGTCAGTGTTTTATTTCCATGGAAAAATCATCTAGTTGCCTCAAGTTGGAATAAATATCCCAACCCCATCACCACCCCAACTAACCCCCCATCCACCCCCAACCACCCCCAACCCCCATCCCCAACCACTTCCCCCAACCGCCCCCAACCCCCCTTGGCCCAAGGCGCTGCTTGCGCGCCGGCGACTCGCTCTCGGCCTTGCAACTTCCCAGGCTCTCCTTCTGAGGCTCCGCCAGGGTCCCCAGGCTGCGCGCGCGGGGGCCGATGACCTGGATGGGGCCCATACTAAGGGGAGATTGACATGGGTTGAATACATGTAATTGTATGTAGATAAGTAGATAATCAAAAATCTTGAGCCAGGGTCAAATTACATGGGATTCATCTGCGGCATCATCCCACCATCATGGGATTCCAAAAAAATAATTGGGCCATGAACGGAGCTAGTTGTAGTCACAGTAGATAGCTACTGGTGGTTATATTTGGGTTGTAGCCCATAAAAGTCACCCAGTTATGTTTGTGAAAAAACAGATATTAACCAGGGAACTACAGTACCTCCCTGGCCCACAGAAGTAGGATGATACATCAAACATGGCATACTGGGTACTTAAACAGGTAGCATGGTACATGGTCGGCTCTTAGAAATTCCCACCACCATGTAATACAGCTGGCTGAAACCAAGGCCATGAAATGCAGGGTGTAAACAAATTAATCTACTGTATATCATGTTGTTCAAATCTGTATAATTAATATATAACTATATAATATATACAAATATGATCAAATATGCAGTAATTAATATACTCAGGATTTCTCAAAAACTCACCCCAAATGGGACCCCAAAATGAACACATCCACTACCATCCACCAGGATGTCCGGCGTCTCGGCCCCATTCCCCGCGGCACCATGATGGGGAGCCCTTCGCGACCGCGCGGGGTGCGCTGCCAGGCCTGGCATGACAAAAATCAGTATGATATTTCTATAATCCTATACTAATAATATTTACTATTTACCATTAATATGGACCATTTCCCATAATATTCATAGTAAGTATGTCCATTAATACTGTACCATTTCCCACAATGATATTTCTAATATTATCATATGGTATATCAGTATGGGAAATGGTAAATACCATACTATAATCCATCTATAATCCATCTAGATATTTCTATCATCCCATATTTGTATCAGGTCCAAACCTACTGACCTACTGATTAACTCTGACTATATATGGGATCATAACTATCATAACTTGTCCATATATCGGTATTATATATATATATATATCCCAGATACCCTCTAGTAAACTAACATAACTATGGAAAATCACCATTTTTGATAGGGAAATCAACTATAAATGGCCATTTTCACTAGCAAACTGTTAGTCATTACCAGAGGGTCTTAATTCCCATAAGGTGGTGGCACTCCAGACACTTCCAGCATAACCCATCCCCACCTCAGCAGTCGACATCTGCATCTCTGGGTTGTCGGAGCCGTCGGGGCCGTCGGGGCCGTCGGGGCCCTGGCCACCTTGGGAGACGACGCTTGGGGACTCCAGCGATCAAACTTGGTTGGAAAATGACGGCTTTTTTGGTAGAACAGCACCTATACCCATAGGATCCATGTATGATATATTATATGCTAACATTTGGGGTATGTTGATGGTAAATGTTACTATATATAGCATACATGGATCCTATGGGATATTATAGGTATAATCGACAATCATGTTTTTAAAAAATAGGCCATAAACATCCATAAGATATGTCATGATATGTTTATAATGGATAGTGTTGAAAACTTTTTCCAATTGACAGGTTTGCTGACCGGGCCAGTAGAAGATTCCACGGCCACGCCTTCCCCCGCCAAGGGAAGCTTAAAATAGGCACCACAAATGCGTAACTTGCTTGGCTTGTAATTTGGGGTGAAATGCCTGGTATTCTGGGAAAAACAGCAAAAACGTGAGACCTTGCCATTCCCTGAAATGCCCGCATGATGTGTCGAACAAGTACTAAGTATGTCAAACTATGGAGGTAATTGGTTCCCAAGCATCAAGAACAACCCTATCTGGATTCGTTGTGAAACTCTTGGTATAGCTCCTTTTTTGCACCATTTTACCGTGCACCTTCGCCCCATAGCTCCTCCAGCGCAGGGCACAAAGCTTCCTAGGGCGGGTTATCCATGTTTGGCAGCTTGAGGCTCTCCAACACCATCAAGGATGACATGGGGCATGCCCCAAACAAATTCAACAAAATAGGGCTAGACCACATGCAGATAGAACTTAAAACTGTTCGACTTTCACTGGCAATTGATAGAAACTTGAAAGAAATCCAGGATTTTGTCCCGGTTTTTTACCATCCAGTTGGATGTGAAGTTTCACATTCACCGGTTTTGGGATACCTGTCCCATGAACAATGAAGCACAGAGTGCCCCAAACTCACCTGAAGCGTTGGTTGAAACCTCAATGACGAATTATGCCAAATCAACAATGGGAAATGACATGGCTGATGCTTTTTGATTTTTTTCATACCAAGGGAACACAAAAACATACAAAAACCTTGGCTTGGTCTGCTTGCAAATTCGGTAGCACAGTAATCCCATACAGTACATGTTCCAATTTTTAGAGAATCTGCCAACTCTCCCAGAAGCAGAAGTCTCCAACGTCCAAGGTTCCGATTCTCGTTCTCGGCAGCAGCAGCATTGCACTTGTCCCATAATGAGATGGGATGCAATGCCTTCCTTTCACAGGCAACTCTTGAACCAAATGGCGGCAGCAGTTTACCAGTCAATGGGGGCCCACCCACCATGCGCAATGGGAGTGTAGCCAGGGGATGGCCAGGGGTACCAACAATTCCACCAACAACGACATATCTCTGCCTTGGCATCACAGATTTGAGTGCGCAACATCTGTTCTTTATCCCTGCGCTTTCAAGTGTTGATATCTGGAACCCTGTGACACTGCCAGAGTTCGCCAGTGCTAATCAACAGGATTTCTTTGACAAAAGAAACTTACAATTTCTACCCTCTGGTAAACTAACGTAGCTATGGAAAATCACCATTTTTAATGGAAAAATCAACTATAAATGGCCATTTCCAATAGCTACGTTAAATTACCAGAGGGTAAGCCAACTCACAAAAACATCCTCGATTTCACATGAGAACACATCCCCAGATGATCCCAGATGGAGTTTCACAGAGTTCCTTGATCAGTACCCTCTGGTAAACTTACATAACTATGTAAAATCCTCTTTTTGAATAGGAAAATCCGCTATAAATGGTCATGTTCAATAGTTATGTTAAATTACCAGAGGGTATTTGGATCATCCAACATGGTTTGGATACGACCGGTCCGGTTCCAAGCTTCGTCAATGAAGGGTTCGAAATCCGCGCGGTTTTGCTCCATGAAATCAACGCACTCTTCTCTGAATCTGGCCTCGGAATTCAACGACCATCCCTCGACATGGACATGGATGACATGGTTTGGTTGCGGGAATGATTGCTCAGTAAGTGGCTTGCACACAGCAGGAATTGTATTGGTTTTTATGAGTTCTTTGTGTTAGACTTAATGTTCATCCATTGCCTTTCAGGACATCCTTTAAACATATAGCCAATCAAAATGGGTTTAATGATTCTGCAGAAATTCAACTCTTCAGTAAATAGCTAAAATGAAAGAAATCAAAGTTTAAAATCCTAGGTCTGGAGTCTGGAGTTGAACATGAGCCTGGAAAAGGACTCGAACCCCAGAAAATTGACAGACACGGGAATGAATGTGGTACTAGAATGATCTCTGGAGATGAGGACCCAAGCCAAAAACCTATAGGATCCTATTGGATGTTCATGGACTTTCCATATATATTTTTTAACTAAGTTGGTCCAGCAACATGGAAATTTCATGGAAGTTCAATGAATTGCACCAAGCCGGAGACAGATGGATGGGTTAAAACCCCGTGATTTTCCGCAGGTTTTCAGTGGATGAACATGGCCATGACCATGACAGCACACCCAAATTCCAAGGGATTCTCATCCATTAAAATGTCTCCATGGTGTTGTTCAAGAAAATGTCCTAACAGGTTGTCAGTCACATTTCCTACTATCTACACACACATACTATATAATATATATGCCCGCGTTGGACTGCAGATTGAATCTTGGTACTATTAATGACTACTGTATTTACCATTGGTTACGTGAAACTAATGTGGCAAACAACAGATAAACCATTCCAATGATCAACCAAGTTGAATTCATCATTTTATAATTACATACATCATGTTACATATGTTACATCATCCCCTATTTGGGAGCATATAGCCCAAGAATAAACAGTCATACACTTCACAAGTACTATCGGATTATCTAAACTCACCAAAGCGTCGTCCCATCACCGTGTGCGATCCCTCCTTGGTCGCCGAGGAACGTGTGCCTCCGGTTCGTCGGCCGCCAATTGGTCTGCGAAACTGGCGGCAGCGCGCAACGGGTGTGGGGCAGCTTTTGCCCCGGATGGCCGAAGGTGACTCACCAGGCACAAAGGGTTGGACTTCTCATGGCTGAAAAGTTGGAACAGTAAGAGCCTGGGACTGTTTAGATATCCGTAGGTATTACTGATATTACTGACATGATCTGACATGATACTAGAACCAAGCACATTGGGGATTTGGATGATTCAACCAGAAGCAACAAACAGTTCAAATAATGAATGAACTAACCATCATACAAGTAGGATTGATGACTAAGACTATTGATGTAACATGATGTAACTATGATGATTGAAGCTGCAAAACGTGTTCTGACCATTGGCTCATCATTGCCTCCTCGAGTGCGGTCTCAAAGGATTGATGATTGATGCAACTCGGGATTCATAAAGCCTGACTAAAAAATGGGGTCCCTGAAATAGGGATAAATTGTAAATTGTAATTAACATGCTTTACCCTAGGAATAACCTGAAGGGTTAGCAAATCCTGGGTTCACATGACCTTTCCTAATCCCAAAAAGCACCCAAGAGTCGCCGCGGCTGTGCCCCCGCACGCGCGAAACAAGCAGGCACCATCGCCCTCAACCTCTTTGACCCGTAAGCCACAGCTTTTTAAGAGGTCCTGGTCCTGGTCTCTCGATTGCCCCAGGCGGTGACATGGTGCAAAAGGGCCGATTTCTTGCTGTGGTCATTGACGTTCTGATCAGTTCATCAATGTTTGGGATAAACTGTGGCCAATAACATCCAATAACAGTGGATCTTTTTGTTAGGGGTAGTCATCCATATTCATCCGAATACCTCAAGTTCTCTCGCATGGGTTCCTTGCGCATCCACTTTCAGTCACTGGCTCAGTCAGGAATGATCACCGAAAAGACCCATATTTACACAGGTGAGGCTCACCGGGGGGGCACCCAAGATATTTCTGTCATCCCCGCATTTCCACGCATGGCAACGGGGTCCTTCTTCAACTCACGGGCCCACCCTTCAGTGCTGGAGGTGGAGGCAGTAAATGCGCCTGGGCACGGTGCGAAATGACATGAAATGACGCTGAACATGTCATTGCCACTTTTGTAGACTTGAAGAATCTTGAAGAATGATCAGGTGCCAGGGTTCTCTCCCCAGCTTTCCAGCTGTCTACAGCTTCACTAGCGGTTAAAAAATGCCGACTGAGTGCCAGAAAGGATGGGACTACTGTAGATGGAAAGTGTGGGCCCCACCTCTCTCCCCACCACTAGTTCCACCAACCCAGCGCTCAAGCTGACAAGTCGCTACCACCAGGAGGCCTGCAAATAGCAACAGTGCGGCCCGAAAAAGTTGAGCCATCATCATCATCATCATCATCATCATAATCATATATATATATATATATCATGATCCATATTGATCCATATTGGCCATTGGATATCCCTTCATGTCCCATCCCACACGGCTGTAAAGTCTATGCCAGGTGCGTGGGCCCTTGGCCCCACATTACCCAGTGACCTGACCAGGGTGCAGATCTCATTGATTTGGCACCACCAAACCAGTTTCCTTGGATAAATTTGGTAAAACTAGCTATGACTTGGTTAACCCAAACATTTTTTTTGCTAAAGCTTGGTAAAACCATAGCATCTATGGATAAAGCAGCTTAATGTTTGATGGTTTCAACAAACCACTAACATCCACCAACCATATCCTATCGCTTCCACCTGAGAGTCATCGCAGGCCCCTTCGCCATGCTTGCCGCTTTGAAGGGGGGCGCATTGAAGTTCACGGGCCTCGGCAGAGTGTAAACCATGCGAAAAGGAGGTGGAACGTTTGGAATGACCATGCCTAGGAAAATCCAGGAGAATCATCCTTAAAGAAGATTGAAAACGGTTATTTCTAGCAGGAAACATCCTGAGAAAGGAGTAAGAAGTGGAATTTCCAAGGAAAACAAACTTCCTAGAGCCCAGTTTCCTGGGTTCCAAGCTGGTTTTTGGGCGGTGGAACCCCAAACAAAACTGCCAAGTTGTCCTAGTTATAGTTGATGGTTTGGAGATGGTTTGGAGAGGCTTCTGGCCAAACTATGCCAAACTCTCCGATGTTTCAGATTAAAGCTTCAACCCACATCGTCTTTGTCAGCGGTGGTGAAGATTCCCCATAAAATGAGTCCAACAACAACAACAACAACAACAACAATGTCTGTGAGATGGATGTGATACTAAAATGGCTATCCCCCACGGGGCGACACATGCACACATCCGCGTCTATCCGGTGATCTGCTGTATATCTACAGTAGGCTGCACTTAGAGTGACCCAAATGCGTGAACATACACGTTGAAATTTAAAATGGCATCTCTCTAGAGACTGTAGGCATTGGGGGCATGTCTTTTGTTTTTTTTTTGGTTTTTTCAGGCCCCAAGGGAAGGATGCAGAGAGTTGAGTCTTTTCATGCCCCAAGGGAAGGATGCAGAGAGTTGAGTCTTGTCATTTGTTTTTCTTCTTGCCAGTCAATGCATATGTCAAAACAGAGAATGTGTAAAGAGGAGTGCAAAAAGCAATGAGAACATGTCTTAAAACTCATTATATAGGGACTTTGTCAAAAATAGTGATTTATATGGAAATTACACGGGCGTGGGGCGTCCCCCTCTCCATTTATAACTGGGATGGGATGGGATATGGTTTGTGCCGGCACATCCGATCGCTTCAACAGCTTCAGGTGGCGAGAGCTTGCAAGACATGAGTCGGCCAAAGACGTGCCGACGGAACTTGCGAAGAAGGATAGGGATAAGCATTTTAGATATGGGATGGGTATGGGTGAACATGTTGGGATGAGTCAGAATCTATGATACATCTATAACATGGGAACGTATTCCGAAGCCATTTTAGCCATCTTGGCTTGCTGAGGGTCAGTGATGTCGAGGATCTTCTCAGGCAAATCCAGGAATCGATGACTTGATCGGTTCCGTTTTTATCCAACGCGTGTTGGCGAAAAACAAGAGGCAAAAAGAAACACAGTGATTCATTGGGGGTTATCTGCCCCAGTTCCGGACCCAAACTAATGGTTATTACCATTGCTTACTACTCATTTGGTGAATTTTTGGGTTACATCCCCTCATATCCCCTCTTTGTGGGCAACCAAAAACCTTGTCGACTGATGATTTTTCCATTGGAAATACAACTGATCCGCTGCGTCCAAGGAGCTTCACCTTCTTCTTGGCTTTGCCTGCCGTGGTTTTGGTAGGGGTGGTGATGAATGGGGGGCCCGTCGACATGAAATCTACGGTATGAAAGTTATCATAAGCTCTTGGGGGCCCAGAGTTCATGATCTTTTCATGTCCCCATCTTTAATTTGCAATGGTGTCAGCTGACAACTGTAGCACCTTGTGGTTATCCCCTCCGATCAGGTCATCCTGCTGCCATCCCAGGTACCTTTGAAGAGGGCATCCAGTGATGATGGTGCGCCGCTGTATCCGCCGTCGTTCATCAGATCACCTAGCTATCACGAGGGATGGATGATCTGAGAAAGGCAAAGGCTTCCAACAAGACCAACAAGATTTCGGGTGATCTTGATATCGTTTCATGAACTTTTCACCAGGAAAGTCCTATTTGGTTTGTCTGAGTCTGAGAGTCTGAAAATGGGGTACCCTTAAATCCACTTGTCGATCATCATTTTCCCGCTTAGACAAGCCATTTGGGAGTATCCGGTATACGGTCCTTTTCAGACACACCCATGTAGTTCATAATATCAAGTTGGTTACATCTTCCATTAATATGTGCAATACAAATACCCACAAATCACATGTTTTGATGATTAAATCCCATATTTCAGAGATTTTTTCGAGCTCCGAAGCTTTCCTCTGCCTGGCCTCAATGGCAAGGCTCCCTTGATGTCGCGGCTATCGCCCGGGCAGCTGGCTTTGGATAAGCCAAGCTCGAAATCACGTGGGCTGCGGAGGGTGGTGATGGTGAGGATGGTGGGTGAGGCCTTTCATGAAAAGCCAGGGACCCTGTTGAACCCAGCAAAACTGAGTTTACGATTCATGCCTACTTGAGGAAGCAGTAATAAAATGTTCTACCTGGCCATGGATCCCAATCCCAACATGTTTCTCCCTACCAGAAACAACTATGAAAGTGGATCATGACCAGCTGGAAAAAATTATCTGGCACTGTCACTTCCGCACTTAAGGACGTGTGGCCTTCAGTATCTCCGAGCTATTGAATCCCCTCAAACAGGGTCTGTGACCATGTCATGTCTGAAAACTGCCCCCTTCCCCAGCCCAATGTCATCCTAAAACTGAGAACCTCCATCCCTGAAACCGCAGTGTAGGCCCACGGACGCCACCAAGAAGAAACCCTCGCCGCGGGCATTGCCTGAAACTGGTTGGCCAGGGAAGAAAATGCCGGAAGTTAAGAATCTATAGGCACTGAATATACCCACAAAATAAATGTATTACAATTCACCGTTCCCTTGTCTTGATACTTTGGACTTGTTTTCCCTGTGTCCCGAGGTTAGTTCAGGGATGTTCAGGGTTAAGGCATCACAAAAGCATCTTTTCTTGGCCGATTTAATGTACCTCAAAGATGGTCATGTGTCAACCCTGAACTAATGGACCACTGGGCCGTATATAACATAATTTCGAAGTGCATGTCTAAAACATCTTTGGGGGGCAACTGCCTCGATACATCCAGGAAGTTCTAGAATTTCTGGGCTTGACATTATCCCATGCCAATCTCACCATAGATGAGAACTGTGGATTCAAGATTGCTCATGATTACATGATCTATTGAAGACTACTTATGGAGCACAATGGATTGAACATGACAATGGATTGCTATGACGATTGAAGTTTCCCTTGACATTATATAGATATATAGATATATAGATAGATACTTCCTCGAAACACTGGTCTGGTACTGAATCGAATCATTTTGGGGACCCCATATGGGTGCATTTAATAGTGTATTGGATTGATATCAGGATTTCAGGATGGTTAAACCGTGTTGAACCCCCATTTCTGATCGTTACCCCACTACCAGGGTGAAGGGCTTATTTCTATATGGAGTACCTCAATCGCTTCAGCATCGCCACCCAGATCTTCCGTGCCTTCCCTTAGTTTTTGCACCTTGGCCCCGGTCTGACTGGCTCCAGAAGCCAAGGTTTCAGATGCTTTAGTGGAACCCCCAAAACAGATAAACACATACCCATCTGCATGGAAAATCACCATGTTAAAAACCGGTACATCATCTGCAACTGGGCGATTTTCTATGGCTATATTGCCGGAGGGTATTTATCATATAATAAGTCATAAACTCTTCAAGATGTGCCGGATTTGCTGTCTAATCTATCTATCTTATTGTCACTATACACATATTTTTGGTATGAGTTCAAGTTATTTTGGAAGGTTGCCATGTGTTGCCAGTTGAGCAGTGTGGACAAGCTGTTGGAAAATTGTGAAAACATCTTTGGTCACTGTTGGCTAATGGATTCGCAGTTCATGGGCCATGATCATCCTACTACATTGGGTAGTAGAACGCCCTCACCAAACTGTTTTTTTTTGCCACTGCTTAGTTGGGGGTTGCTACACCAGCAAGAGAAACAACGACCCACCGGTCAAACACCTTTCTTTTTGGACAAGTTCCACCTACAAAAATCCACCATTTTACGGTGAGGTGACCATATCAGCTGAGCTTTCCACCCAAATCTTTGTGGGTTGGCTGGCTTCTACCACCTTGGCCGAGCTTGGATCATGAGATCTTTTCAGATCGAAGCGGAAGCTGATTGAAACGGGGACAAAAAGCGCAAGATTTGGTGGGTGGTCATAGCTTCCTCCAGATCTTCTGAGTATTCTACTGTTCTCCAGTTAAGGCACCCATAAATATATATATATAGCACCAATATATTATATGGTAGATAAATGTAAATAATAATATAAAATAATCCCATGTTCAGGGTGACGAACGTCACCCTTAGGGGTTTCCAGGGGTTCCAAGGATCCCATGTGATTCTGCCGTCCCAGGTGCTGCTATGAGATCTGTTCGCAGTGCTACAGCCACCACGTGGCCCGGGGACGAAGTGGACCTGTGGAGCTTTCGTTGGTCAAGTTCCAGTGGGAAATGGACCATTTTCATATCAAAACATATCAAAACCCAATGGTTTGTACCTAGGCCAACCAACCAAACCCATAGGGGAATCATTCTGGCCAGTGAATGTCCGTCATGTAAAATATATGTCAAAAATTATATGTGTTGCCATGGCGCCCCATGCCCAAGATGGGTATATGCACATAGTCAATATGGGTTTCAGTGGATGGTGCGGCAAGGATGATGATGTATCTTGGATGCATTCACCGGGTTGGACATGTGAAAGAAAGCAATCCTATCCATCCTTTCCCATTAATACGCAAGCTACAGAAAACGAATTTGAATGCTTTACTGGCACTGAAGCATTACACTACAGTAGCCCTCTGCATTTGGTCGGCAAATGTTCCATCGCCACGTTTGACCAAAAAAAAGGTATACCCTTGTTACAGGATGCTCATGACCATGTCAACGGAGTTATATACTACTCAAAAAATATATAGCCACGCCGTAAAAGTAAAAAAACAACTAAAGTAAGTGCTATTATGTAGATCCGTGGTGAATTACACGTCTATCGCTATTGGGACTGCTATAAGCTATTTGTTGGATTTGCGTCAGGTGCCGCAAAAATAAATACTTCCTATAGCTAACTAAAGATCCAAAAGGTAGATTGCCCTGTCAAATAAAGAATCACCTTCAGCAAACCCAAGGAATTCCTGATTCCAGCGACGGGGGAGTGAGATCGTTGTAATTTATCCAACATAACCAATTATATCCCCATTCTGCCTCATTATACCCCTAAAAAAGCACCATGAATTATACATCATTATACCACCATGCTTCTTGGTTAAAGCAGGCATGTTAATTCCTCTATGAATTTTCTTTATCTTATTGCCCAAACGGTTTTCCACATTGGCTTTTTTCCATATTTAACAACATAATTCCTGTCACTGTTGGTTGGTTAAACTGGGTTTTTCATGGTTTTTCCATATTTTTCCCATTTTTCCCCCTACCGTAAATCACTTCAATCCCCATGAGCCCAGGCGGCATTGGCACAGGCCATCGCTCTAATCGAAGCCCTGGAGACCATGGGAGGCGGTGGACCGCCCGGGAAAACCATGGAGCCCGACGTCTTTACGTCTCAAATATTGAAAAACCACTGCTCTTTGCCAAATGCTCCATGTATGGTATATTTACCTACATTTGGGTGATTTTTAGGGTAAATGTTGGTAAATATTCCATACATGGAGCATATGGGTTTGCCAAATGTAGGCTTTTCCGGATTCATGTTTTTCTTCCAGTTCTGGGACACCTGAAATTTGGATCTACAGTCTTCCATTGTATCCACTATATCCTATGTAAATCACTAAGTTTGATGATTTAAATCCGGATAAATCCCATCTAAATAGGAACCTTGGAGACCATCACTGATCCTCCGCGAGCCCAACCCCTCGGTACCACGGCCTGGTGGAAGTGTCTCCGTTCCCTTGGAGGGCCACTAATCACAAGAACTGGGGCGGAAATGATTAGTTCAATGGATTGGTTTAAGGGAAAATCTACAGGAAACCATGGTTTTTACCATCAAATATAGGGCTTTCCTGTAAATTTTCCCATCATCCAATTCTATGATTAGTTTTGCAGGGCACATCATAATATGACAATAATTAAATAATTAATACCAGTTATATTTGCTATACCATTAATATATTAATATAATACCACTAATAGTGAATGCAGCAGGTAATACCATACTGTTGTAAATAGGGCTTCACCTTTGCTAATACCACACAAGTATGAATGACTGGTGCTGCAGGTTTAGGAGTGCATAAACCAATAAGATCATCAAGATCCAATAAGTATGGCAATCCCTTCGTTTCGGGAACTGTCTTGCCACCACCAGGGGACGACTAGAAGATGGCTGGCCATGGCCATGACCCAAGGGAGGTGCCTTGCAGCTTTCGGATGTTGAGACAAGATCCTCTCTATTGAAGACTGCCAAGCGTGCCAAGGTAGGATTTTGGAGTATGTAGTCTGCAGCAACCGGAAAAATTGGATTGTGGCGACCTTCATCCTATGACTTGGAGAATCAAAAGACGCTGTGTTCTCCTCTGGCAATCTAGCATAGCTGTGGAAGATTTCCCCGTGGCAAATGATTTACGGTATCTCTTCAAAGTTAGAACAAAAATGCGAAGGGATTGAAGACTGCAAGCAATCTGACATCTAAGACAAATCGCGCATGAACAGCACCCAGAAAACTTAAGCCTGATGTTGGGCGATCATTGCAAGTACCCCAGCTATGACTATGCTCAACTGGATAAGAACATGCCTGATCTTCCGACCCTATGTTCGGAGTTTCCACCTGAAAGTGCGCACTTTTTTTACATTCGCCATCATTCGCCATCCAAA